GAAACAGACTCTCTGCAAAGCGTCCTCCAGGGACAGCCCGCGCTGCATGCAGCTCCTGCGGCAGGCCCACCCGCCGCCCACCCTGACCCCGAGCTCCTGGACCCTGCCCCTGGGGTGCCACCGGCTCTCACGCAGGCCGGGCGAGCGTGCGCCGGGGGTCTGCAGGGCAAAGCCAGCTGGTGATTCACCAGCTGAGCTGGGGGCCTGTCCCTGGACCTATTGAAAGCGCTGCAGCGCTAGAGCAGACTACGTGCTTCCCCGTGGCCCGCGGAGCTGGCTTCCAGCAGTCTCTGGTTGCACCCCAGAGACGGGTGCATGGCAGGGGTGCTCGCCGCATGCCTCTGGGGTCCCGCGGGATGCCTGGCTCTGCGGCAGGTGGAACGGTGCCCCGGGAGCCCCCGTGGCCTCACCTCGCTGGTGGAGAGGCTGGCGTGCTCATCCAGGCTCAGCACGGCGTCTGTCCCGATGGCCGGGTAAGGGAAGAAGCGGTCGCTGATCTGGGGTGGGGGAGAACAGAAGAGTCAGGGGTGCCCAAAGCCCCCGCTCCCCATCCCCTGCTCACCCCGACGGCCAGCGCGGGTGAGACAGTCGCCAGCAAAGGCAGCAGTCTCTGGGCTTGTCGCTGTGATGGGGCGTCCCCTTCTTACTTTCCTCCTCCCGTGAATGACCGTCAAAGGCACTGGGGTCCGGGGCCACTTCCCGCTCGGCGGCGGTGACTTCTCGCTGCTCCACAGCACGAGAACCTATGGGGAAACCGAGGCAGGAGAGTCAGCGGGGCTGGGGCAGCACTGAGCCAGCCCGAAGCAGGGCCCGTCCAGCCATGCGTCTGTCTGCGGGGACCCTGCAGGGCACAGGGCTTGGAGGTCCCTCCCGCCCCCCCACGCACACGTGTGCCTGGCATGGGGGCAGCAGGCCTGCCCCCACGGTCTCTTGAGGCAGTGCGGGTGTTTCCTAGCGTGTGCACATCCCAGCCCCGGAGCCAACGTGCCTCCCACCCGGCCCGCCGAAGGGAAGGGAAAGCGGGGCGGGGGGCCTGCACCCTTGCCAGGGGCCAGATGCCCCTGGGAGTCGCCAGAGGCCCAACAGCTCCTTGGCTCCAAACTCCCTGAAACTGCCTCTAATTGAGACCTTTAGGGGCTCCTCTCCTTTCAGATGGGGGGTGGGAAGCACAGGGGGTCCCGCCAGCAGTGTGGGGCTGGAAGGCAGCAGGTCTTTCACCTCACTGGGATAAAGTCCTGTCCTTTTGCCTAAGCCAAGGCCCTCGGGACCTGCTTTTCCAAGGAGCCAGGTGCAAGGGGGCTGGATCTCTGCCTGGTGTAGTCAGAGAGGGCAGGACGCCCCCATCCCGAACCAACGGCCAGTCCATTCACTTCAGCTTTCCAGAAGCCCCAGGTAGGTCCAGCTTGGGCCCCTCACCCCTGGCCTGCAGCCCCCACTCTTCCCCTCACCCCCCAGGCAGGTGTCACCCCCTCCCTGACCTGGGAGCAGTACTGGGATGTGGAGACAGCCTGGATGAGCTTGAGGATGGGCTGCGAGAGGGAGATCCCTGGGGACATGGCCCGGATGAGCGCGGTGAACTTGCTGGAAGGGCTGGAGCCTGGGGCAGGAGAGAAAAGAGACCGGGATGTGGGCACGCTACAAGGGAGGAACAGGCTACAATCGGACCTAGACAGGTTACA